AGGGGTATTCAAAATGCACACTGTCTTGGGGTGGGGGGAGGGACAAGATGGGGAGAAAATCTGGAACTCAAAATCTTATGGAAGTGAATGTTAAAAACTAAAAATTAATAAATACAAAAATTCTATTTTATTTTCAGTTCTAAATTCTCCCTCTTCTCCCGCCTTCCATAATCATTCAGAAGACAAGAAAAACAAAAACCATCACAAATGTGTATAGTCTTGCAAAATAAATTCCAGCATTAGCCATGTCCAAAAAAAGAAAGAGAAGAAAATATAGATCAATCTGCTCTCTGTGTCCATCAGCTCTCCATCTGGAAGTTAGCCAACATGTTTCAGCATGAACCCTTTAGAATTGTGCTGGGTCACTGTGTTGATCATAGTTCCTAAGTTTTTCAAAGTTGATTATCTTTGTAATATTGCTCTTGCTGTATAAATATTTCTCCTGGTTCTGCGTATTTCACTCTGCATCAGTTACAAAGTCTTTGTAGGTTTTTCTGAAACCCTCTCCATCTCTTGGCTTTCTGGCTATACCCAATCATGTTCTGACTTCAGCTTTGGGTGCTAAGTGATGCCTGTAGTGTTCTAGTAAAGGATTTCAGAGAAGGGCTAGTTCAGTCTCATCTGATTCCCATTTGAAAGTGTTACAGATGAGGAAATCTGGCACCAAGAAAGTCAAGTACCCTGCCTATGGTCATACACCACCACCCACTACCCTCTTTTATCCTCCAATATACTGGAATAGTTCTTTCTGTAAGTTGGCATTTTTAGTTGAAAAAAGAGATGGGACAAACAAAGCCAATGCAATCAAGATTAGGAGGGAAGCAGAAAACTGGGAAAGAATTTTTACAACCAGTGTCTCTGATAAGGACCTCATTTCTCTCTTTTTTTTCCCCCAGCCAAAGACAAGGTTTATTAGAACATCCATCATATTGGGTAGACTCTTAAAGAGTCTGAACATTAGGAAGCTCTTGGCTAAATTATAAGAATCTGAGCCCATGGCTAGATTTTAAGAATCTCAGTATCTTAATGGAGACAAAGTGGACCTTATATACAGAAAGACTATGGGAGGGATCTAGGAGTGGCCAAGTAGTCTATGAGGTAATAGAATTCCAGGGACCTGGATCACAGGGCCAAGGGAAAATGGAGAAGTGGCCTGGGGCCATAAGGAGGTCCACAATGAAAGGCCAATTGATGGGATTATAGCCTTAGGGGAATGCCAGAGATTTGGCCATGTGGGAAAGTCCAGGGTTTTTCCTTTCTGGGGCCCAGATTCCAACCCCATCATTCTCCCCTCAAATAGGAACCCAAATTCTTTTGGGGTAAGGGGCGAAGGTCTCGGCTTCTGAAACTGCTTCCTGCTGGCAAGGGGTGTAGAGCTGTCCCTGCCTCGAGGGAGTCCCAAAAAGGAAGTTGACTAGAACCAAGCACGGGCTGCATCCAGAAACGTGGGGGACACTGGGTGGTACTTGCTGTTTGCTACCAACTGTAGGTGAATGGCCCGTAGTCCAAGTTCAGACACCAGCTTCTTTACTTTGAGCAGGATGTGCTGAACCTGGGTGATGCTTCCAGGCAAAGGATGCCCCAGAGCTCAAGGCCATTGCCAGTGGGCCCATGCTGTAGCTGCTGCCCCTCCCCCTTCCTTCCTTTCCCAGGTGGGGTAGGGTGAAATCAAAGGTATTTCAAAACTCCCTAATGATCAATCACAAAACCTCCAGAATCTGCCAAGAGATTTTTAGCTGTTCTAACTTTCCCCTGTAACCTCCATGAAGGAGGATTCAGAGGTGCAGAGGGAAGGAGAAGCCTCAGGGAACCAAAAAGCAACTGCAGTTCTCCCCAATTCCTTAGCGCCAAGGGAATTAACAGATACACTTCCGGATAGGGCGTCTGTCCTTGTCCTCTATGCTGCAGAAGGTGTACCCAGGTCCATGGCCTTGAACCGATCCAGTGGACTGAGAGCCTGAGAGCCTCAGGCCCAGTGCTAGACAGCCTTGTAACTGTCTGCCAGGAAAGCACCTCCAAGCCTTGGTGCTTGGAGAGCGACCCCAACTGCAGAGCAAGTCTTGGCTGAAGAACTTGGGGTTAGACAGTTTCCCCGTATGGGGAAGAATTCGACCCAAGCCTTCTTTCAGTCAAAGACAAGGTTTATTAGAACATCCATCATATTGGACAGACTCTTAAGGAGTCTGAACATTAGGGAGCTATTGGCCAGATTATAAGAATCTAAGCCCATGGCTAGATTTTAAGATTATCAGTCTCATTTCTAAAATATATAGAGAACTAGGTCAAATTTATAAGAACAGAAGTCACTCTCCAATTGATAAATGGTCAAAGGATATGAACAAGCAGTTTTCAGATGAAGAAATTAAAGCTATCTACAGTCATATGAAAAAAATGCTCTAAACCATTATTGATCAGAGACATGCAAATCAAAATGACTGAGGTACCACATCACACATATCAGCTTGGGTAACATGACAAAACAGGAGAATGATAACCGTTAGAGAAGACATGGGGAAAATTGGAACACTAATGCATTGCTGGCAGAGTTGTGAACTGATCCAGCTATTTTGGAGAGCAATTTGGAACTATGCCCAAAGGCACACAAAAATATGCATACCCTTTGACCCAGCATTAGCACTTCTAGGGCTGTATCCCAAAGGGATCATAAAAATGGGAAAAGGACCCACACGTACACAAGTATTTATAGCAGCTCTTTTTGTGGTGGCAAAGAATTAGAAATGGAGGGGATGCCCATCAATTGGGAAATGGCTGAACAAGTTGTGATATATGAATGTAATGAAATACTATTGTGTTATAAGAAATGATGAGCAAGCAGACTTCAGAAAAACCTAGAAAGACTTATGTGAACTGATGCTGAGTGAACTGAGCAGAACCAGGAGAACATTGTACATAGTAACAGCCACATTGTACGACGGCTAACTTTGCTAGACTTAGCTCTTCTCAGCAATGCAAGGATCTAAGACATCTCCAAAAGTCTCATGGTGGAAAATGCTATCCACATCCAGAGAAAGAACTATGGAGTCTGAACACAGATTGAAGCATACTATTTGCTCTTTTTTTTTTCCTTCTGTCTTGTTTTGTTTCTTCTTTCTTTTGGTTCCTCCTATGGTTTCTAATTCTTCTTTACAACATGACTAATGTGAAAATATATTTAATTGGAATGTATACATAGAGCCTATATCAGATTGCATGCCATCTTGGGGAGGGAGAGAAAATTTAAAACTCAAAAGTTTGTGGAAGTGAATGTTGAAAACTAAAAATAAATTAATTAAAAAAAGAGAGATGGAAATTTAAGATTTGGGTAATTAAAAATGTTTTTAAACTACAGTGTGAGAGTTCAATTATAATTGCTCTCCCCTCCATTTAAAATCTAACAACAACAACAAAAACACAAATTCTTCAAAAAAGTAACTGTTCACAGGTGGGACCAAGTAAGGTATTTGTATACATGACCTTGTTGTAGGGAATTTATTGTAATCCAACCCAACAAAGCAACTACTAAAGGGTCGTCAGTCCCTCAGTGTGTAGAGCCTTCTATTCTCCCTGGCTTGCAATCTCTAGAGACCAATCTTTCCTCTCAGGGTGTTTTTCTTCTTCCTGCCATCTTTCCCCATCACTCCCTACTGAACTACCTGATGTGCTATGTGTCCATGGGAAGGCTTTAAGAGGCCTTTCTTAGCCCATCAGCACCTTAATGATTTTCAGCTCCCAGGGTCTGATGGGGGAATACAGACAGTGCTGCTCCAGGTGCTGTCTCCCCACTGCTCTGGGGTTAGGGGGTTGAAAGAATGTGAGGTAGGGCCCTGGTTAGTTCAGCACAAGAAAAGACCAACTTTGGGCCTTTGGAAATATGAGCAAAGCTTTCTTTTGTAGCACATATTTACTTATCTGTGTAAATGTGGTCATCACCCCAATCCCCATTCTGAGAAGGTAAACTCATGGAGGGCAGGTATTGTTTCATTTCTGTCTCAGTGTTCCCAGCACATAGTCCACAGCCTGATGTATGGCAGGCACGGAATAAATACTGGCTGAATTGAATGACCTTTCCCCTTAATTTCTTTAAGAAACTTTGCTCTTAAAGAACTATAGAGTCTAAATACAGATCAAGGCATACTATTCTCACTTTTTTTTGTTTTTTCTTTCTCATGGTTTTCCCCTTTTGTTGTGATTCTGTTTTCCCAACATGACTAATGTGGAAATATATTTAATATGATTGTACATGTATAACCTATATCAGATTGCTTGCTGTCTTGAGGAGGGGGAAGGGAGGGAGAAAAATTTGGAACTTAAAATCTCATAAAAGGGAATGCTAAAAACTATCTGTACATGTAATTGGAAAAAATAAAATACTATTAAGTGGAGGGGAAAAAGAAAGTTTTGCTCTTAAATCCTTTTTGCTATCTTTGTCACTTCTCTATTTCTCTCTGAGATAAAGGAAAGAAGGGTTTTCCTTCCTCTTCTGGACCAGGAGTGCCAGGTTCCCAGAGGGGCTGGGGTTATTGAAGACAACAGAGTGTGGGGACTACAGGATTCCCAGGAAACTGTGGGGAGTGAGTGGGGACTCTGAGCACCACCCTCTTCAGCCTGGGGCTGGCTGTTTCACATACGTGTCTGTGGTATTTAGTAGCACAATGTGGTAAGGAAAATCCTTCCAGCCCAGGCATCATGATCAGTCCAAATGCTCCTCATCCCTTTCCCCTGCCCCCACCACAAACAGATTTAGGAAGATGGGTAGCTTCTGCTGACACACACCCTGTTCCTCTCAGCAAAGGCTTTAGGCCTGCCCAACCCAAGTTGCTGGCCTGGTGTCTACCCTCAGTTCAAAGCAGAAGAGCCGTGCCCTTGACTGTTCCCTGGTAGTCTAGTCTGGGAATTCCCCTGGATATGAGCCATCCCACAGGCACCAGCAGCTAAGTTCACAGTGCCTCCCTCTCTCACTGGGGCACAGGCCTAGGGCACCAGGAGGTCACCTTGCTTACCTGCATCATGAGGTCCACATAATCCCTGTTCTTCAGTAGGCACAGGTAGGGGTAAAGGCTGGCCTGGCTGTGCTGTGTACTCATGTGGGCTTTTGTCTCCCTGAATGTCTTCAACAAGGCCTTCCGCCACTGGGATTTAAGGTCCTTGAGAAGGTTCCTCTGCAAAGACAGAAAGTGGGCCGTCATTATGATTTCATACTGCCTAAGGGTCTGCTAAGCAGGCCACTATGCTAGCTGGGAACACAAGTCCTGTCTTTGAGAAGTTTCCGATTTTACTAAACTGAGGAGAAAAAATATAGACCAGTTTAGAATGGTGATAACACTTCTCTGAGCTGCAGTCCCTTCTTCAACGTCTGATTACAGGAATTCCGCATCCTCTGCTCTGACATTCTCTGACTCAGCTTCCTGAAGCTCGTCCATCCAGGTGAGTGACCCAGTCTGACCAAAAGAGGGGGTGATCCAGGAAGACCAGAAAACTCAAAGAAGGTTCCACCAAAGAAATGGGACTCAAGCAGGGCCTTGAAGAAATCATACTTAGTCTAAGGGAGGGCAGGGGGCTACTCCAAGGGGGTGGTGTTCCAATCAGCAGGAACCGGAGGAAGAAAGGCAAGAATTCATCCAGCAAGGCAGCTAGGTGGCGAAGTGGATAGAGCACTGGCCCTGGACTAGTAAGGGCCTGGAATGCCAGGTTGAGGAATTTGGACTTTCTCCTACAGGGAGCTAGAAGAGAAGGAAGGTTCTTGGCAGGGGTGACTGAGAGGGGATGACCTGATGGCAAAGTAGTGCTGCACAATGACGGGCCTATCAGTTGGTGAAGGGCAGGTCAAGGGCAAGAAAGACCACCAACAGGTGCCAAAAGGAAGTTCAAATAAGGAGTGCTTGGAAAAGATGGGTGATGATAACAAAAAGACAGCAGATTTACTCAATACTTCTTTACTACTCAATTTACTTCGTTTCCTCTATCAAAAACAACCATATTTAAATTGTGAAGGATAAAACAAAAAGGGTTAACATGGAGTTGAAATCCAGGCAAAGAGATGGTAAGAGAATATCCACTGGACCTTGACCAAACTCACACCACCAATTCCTAGAGTAAAAGAACTTGGCTTCAGTTTCCTCACCTGTAACTGATGACTAAGAATCACTCAATGTTTAAATTTAAGGATTCTTTCATAATTGTAAGAAACAGTTGTCCAAGTCCTTGAGGAAATAAGAAGGAAAAAAGCTAGGGAATACAAGACTGCACTGTACAATCACGAAGAAAAATCAGCCCGGGTGGAGGGTAGGGGGATATTAAGGATGGGTGTGAAATGTCTGAATCCTGCAGGGCACCCAAGGAGCTAGGCCAGGGGTGGGGAACCTGTGGCCTTGAGGCCACATGTGGCCCTCTAGGTACTCAAGTACAGCCCTTTGACTGAATCCAGACTCCACAGAACAAATTCTGTACAGCCTTTTGACTGAGTCCAAATTTTACAGAACAAATCCTTTTATTGAGGATCTGGAGGGCCACATGTGGCCTCGAGGCTGCAGGTTCCCCATCCTTGAGCTAGGCCAACAACAATGAGATAAAGAGTGTGACTGTGTTCTAAGTGGAAGTATATGATGGGAGACAAGCGAACCGTGGAACTGTGTTAAGAGGGGCAGAGCTGTCCAGTGTAAAGCACACTGGATTTGAAATCGAAGGTCTGAGCTTTGAAGCCCAGCTTCTCCCAACTGCCGGTGTGTGACCCTGGGCAAATAATTCTACTTCTCTGAGCCTCACTTACCTCCAGAAGAAATTACACTAAAAAACCTTTAAGTTCCCTTTCAGCTATATATCTATGCTCCTGTATGGCTACTGAGAGGCCCTCAATGATCTTTAAAAAGTCTTATGTAAGAAAGGGTAGGGCTGGTGACAGGGAAATAAATGTTAACCCAATGCTCAAAAAAGGGAAAGAGGGTAGAGCCTCAAAACTCTAGGTCTATGTGCCTAACTTCAATCCTTCGCAAAGCTACGTATCTCTGTGTGTGTATGTCTGTTGTATATGAGCCTAACTTCTTAGCAAAGTTTGTGAATATTATTGTGAAAGGGATGGCTTAGAGTGGGGATCACTAAAAACCAACATGGCTCTTTGAAAAAGAGGTCATGACAGATTAAACTAAGTTTCTTTTCTTTTCTTTTTTTTCTGGTTAGGCAATGGGGTTAAGTGACTTAAGTTTTTTTCAAGAAAGGTTTCTAGACCCTTGATTGGGAAATTCTCCCTCTTTAGATCACCTCTATTTCAGCAGAGCAATTGGCAAAAATCTTTTCGGCTACCTACTTGGACCAGATGAAGAGAGGACTACAGTTAGGATTCTGTAGCTGGTTTAATGACCAGAGTCAAAGAGTAATCATTAATTGATTGAGTTAACCTGGAAGGAGTCTCTACTGCAGTGCCCTCGGGATCTGTCCTTGGCTCTATGTTGTTAAGCATTTTTATCAATGCTTTGGATGAAATCTCAGATGGTTAACTTATCAAATTTGAACACAATACAAAAGGAGGGACAATTAATATGCTGGGTGACAGGATCAGGATGTAAAAAGCCCTCAAAAGGCTAGAACAATGGGATGAATCTAATAACACAGAAAGGCATAAAAAGAAATTTAAAGTTATAAAGTTTAAAAAAATCAACTCTAAGAAAAATATGACAGGGAAGGTGTGATTAGACAAAGAGTTCACATGAAAAAGATCAGGGACTTTCAGTGGGCAGCTAGACAGCACAATGGATAGAGCGCTGGGCCTGGATCAAGAAGACTTTATCTTCCTGAGTTTAAATCTAGCCTTAGACATTTACTAACTGTGTGACCCTAGCCAAGTCACTTAACTGTGTGCCTCAGCTCCTCATCTGTAAAATGAGATGGAGGGGGAAGATCCTGAGAAGATAATGGAGCAGGTCAGAGAATTCTAGGCTCTCCCAAATTCCAGAACATCACCTCAAAATGAATGTAGAATAGCAGAAATAAATAGGGTAAAGTAGTTGTCCTCCTAAGACACCCTGAGGTCCTCTCAGGAAAGACTTGACCTCCAGGGGCACAGGTGTGGCCAGAGTAAAGTGCAAACACCTGCAGGGCAACTGCACTGAATCAACAACCAACAAGCTCTGGGGACAGCTGGGCCTGGGAGGCAGCCTCTGCCTAGAGCTAGGCCAACAGCAAAGAGATAAAGAGTGTGATTGTGTTTTAAGTGGAAGTATATGATGAGAGACAAATGAACTGAGGAAACTGTATAACAGAGGGGCAGAGCTGTCCAGTGTAAAGCACACTGGATTTGAAATCGAACATCTGGGCTTTGAAGCCCAGCTTTTCCCAACTGCCTGTGTGTGACCCTCTCTCTCACCTCACAGACAGTGATATATGTAAGTGGGGGAGGGCTGAAGGACCCTCTGCTGTCAAGGGATGCCAGGCACAGGTGTGCTCACTAGGCAAGGTCTGCTTGGTGGAGACCTTGCTGACTGGAGGCACTTGCAGGAGAGTGGAGTCCCTGCTTTTAGCACCAGGGCAGAGGGAAGAGCTGAAGTTTGTAGCTGCTGGAGGGACTGCAGGGAGTAAGAGCATTTTTCTAGCACAGCATGGCTGGGGGCCATAGCTGTGATTTAGGGGTAAAGAGAAGTGCCCAAGGTTGAGTCTCAGAAAATAATAGTAAGAAGGACCTGAAGCCTGGGGCACCATTCCCCTCACCCTGGGACTAAAGTCAATTACAATAATAAACTGCTAAAATAAGAGAAAACAAAATAAAAAGGAGTAAGCAAAAGAGAAAGAACCCAACCACAGACAGCTACTAAGGGAATAAAGAAAAACTGGGTTCATAATTCAGATTAGTGAAGTTAAAAATCCACTCCTAATTCAAAGAGAAAAATCAAATGGTCACAAGTCAAAAACAGTTCTTGGAAGAACTGAAAAAGGACTTCAAAAATCAAATAAGACAAATTGGGGAAAAATGAGGAAAAAAAATAAGAACAATCCAAGAAAATCAAGAAAATTATGAAAAGAAATTCATCTAATTGGAAAAAGAGATCCAAAAACTTAAGGAAGAAAATAACTCCTTGAAAACTAGAATTAGACAAGGGGAAGCTAATGACATTATAAGACACCAAGAAATAATAAAATAAAATCTCAAAAGAATGAAAAAATAGAAGAGAATGAAACATCTTATTAGAAAAATAAAGGATCTGGAGAACAGATTGAGGAGAAACAATATAAGAATTGCTGGACTACCTGAAAGTTACAACCAAAAAAAGAATCTTGATACAATATTACAAGAAATTATTAAGGAAAATTGCCCTGAAATTTTAGAATGAGAGGGTAAAGTGGAAATAGGAAAAATCCACCCATCATCACCTGAAAAAGATCCCAGGAAGAAAACTTACAGGAATATCATAGACAAGTTTCAAAGCTTCCAGGTTAAAGAGAAAATACTACAAGCAACAAGAAAAAAACAACTTATATACTGCAGAGCTACAATCAGGATTATACAAGATCTAGCAGCTTCTACATTAAAAGATTACAGGTCTTAGAACATAGTATTTTAAAGAGCAAAAGAGCTGGGGTTACAACCAAAAATAACTTACCCAGCAAAGTTGAGTATAATCCTGAACAAAAAAAATGGGCATTCAATGAAGTGAAAGACTTTCAGGTATTTATGATGAAAAGACCAGAACTGAATGGAAAATTTGATATATAAGATTCAGGAGAAACATAAGGTAAACATTTAAGCCGAATTATAAGGGACTCAATAAGGTCAAACTGTTTACTTCTTATATGTGAAAATATTGTGAGTTCTCTTAGGACAGTCATCATTACTTGGGTAATTTGAAAGCAAAGCTTGGACTGAGCCGAGTATGATGGGTTGTTTCTAAAAAATAAAACTGGCTAGAGAGAAGTAAGAAGGAGCAATTAGCTCATACAAATGAGGTATGAATATGATACAGAAGAAACAAGTGAGGGGTAGAGGGCTGGTAATGCTGGAACCTTACTCTTATCAGAACTGTGGGAACAACATATACATCTAGAAGGGTATAACTGTCCTCTAAATTTATAAAGAAATAAGAGGCTGAGTGGATAGGACAAGGGAGGGACTTTTAAAAGGGTGCCTAGATTAAGGAATAGGAGGATAACCCTGTACTTGACAAATGTAAGAGTTAAGTTTTTGTGATAAGAAATCATTATTTGCTAAAAATTATTGGGAGAGCTGGAAAACAGTCTGGCAGAAATTGGGCATAGATGAATATCTTAAACCATGTACTAAAATAAGATCAAAATTGATATATAACCTAGATATAAAGGAAATTATCATAAGAAAGTTAGAATATGGAACATATTACTTATCAGACTCATGAATAGGAGAACAATTTATGAATAAAGAGAAAGAGGGCACTGTGAGATATAAAATGGACAATTTCGACTATATTAAATTTAAAAGTTTTTGTACAAATAAAACCAATGTAGCCAAGATTAGAAGGAAAGCAGAAAATTGGGGGAAAATTGTCATAGACAAGTCTCTCAGATAAAGGTCTCATTTCTCAAATACATAAAGAACTTTGCCAAATTTACAAGCAGAAGACTCATTTCTCCAACCGATACCTGATCAAAGGATATGGACAGGCAGTTTTTTGATGAGGAAATCAAAACTATATACAGTCATATAAGAAAATGCTCTAAATCATTATTGATTAGAGAAATGAAAACTTTGAGAGATCATCTCACCTCTATCAGATTGGCTAAAATGGTAGATGCCCTTCAACTGGGGAATGGCTAAACAAGCTTTGGTATATGATTGTGATGGAATACTACTGTATTATAAGAAATGATGAGCTGACTGACTTGCATGAAAAAAATGAGAAGCAAAATGAGCAGCACCAAGACAATAGCATACACAATAATAGAAACATTGTCCTAAGAACAACTTTGAATGACTAATTCATCTTGAGTATCATAAATACTCAAACCAACTACAAAGGACCTATGAAGGAAGATGCTATCCACCTCCAGAGAAAAAACTAACAAAAGTATGTATAATATGGTTTTGCATATATGTATGTATATGCGTACGTATGTATGTGTATGTATGCGTGTGTGTGTGTGTGTGTGTTTATATTCACATGTATAGCCTTCTCAAGGGTGGGGTGGGGAAGAAAGAAAAAAAATAAAAAGTGCACAGCAGAGAACAAAAGAAAACTTAGAAGGAAGCACAGAAAAGCTGGGTAGCTTTGAAAACAATGTATAGTATTTATTACATAATTTTGAAAAAATAAAAATAAATAAAATAAAATAAGCTGGAGAAGAAAATAGCAAACCACCCCGCTATCTTTGCCAAGAAAACCCCAAAAGGGTCACAAAGAGTAGGACACAACTAAAAATGACTGAACAACAACAGCCACAAGTACAAAGAGTCACCAATGGCACACGGCAGCTCCCTTTACCAAGTAACCCAAGATTAAATTGTGTGAATAGAGGCTTAGCATTTAGAATTAGATGAGAAGCCCTAATTCACAGTGCTCAAGTCTGGGTAGCCCATTTTAGAAAGAATTCTGACAAATGGAAGCACATGTGAAGAAGGGTAACCAGGATGGTGAGTAGCATGGAAATCGTGCCACGGCAATTGGCTGAAGAATTGAAAGTTGTGTAGCTAGACGAAGGGAAGACTTAAATAAAGACTATGTAGCTACCTTAAAATATCTTAAGGGTCATTATGGCAAACTTTGCTGCTTAGCCTCAAAGGGAAGAACTATAAGCAAAGGGTAGAAGGTGCAGAGAAAGAGATTTCAATTCAATGTAAGAAAAAACTTCCTAACACTGAAAACTCTCCCCAAAAAGAATGGGCTGCTCTGAGAGGCAGTAGTGAGTTCCCCGTTCCAGGAATCTCAAGTAGAGGCTGGACAACCCTTTGTTTGTTAGGTATGCATTAGAGGGGATTCCTGCTAATGTTGTGGATTAGACAGAGATTTTGGCATCCAACTGGGAAGCTACTGCAACAATTCAGACACAAGGTGCTAAGGGCTAAAGCAGAGATGGCAGAAATGAAAAAGATGCCCAGTTGAATGGAGAGAGTAAGATGGCAGCAATGCCAGCGCTGAGATGTGCTTTTGAGGAGCTCTGAGGAGAAGGGTTTCCATCTAGTTCTCACTGACCCTGCCTTATCTTCTCTTTCTCCTTCGCTATAGCCAAGCCTCTCCTACCCCTGGATAAGCTGTGAATGGCAGCTCCACTGTAATGTGCATTCTATGAATGGGATGATATCTTGAAAGGTTTCCTGAAATCTTCTAGGTCCCTTCTTTCTCTTTTCTCCGGAGTCAGTGATACCTACACTTTCCTCTCTTGCCTCTGGGCCACCAACCCTTTCCTTTCTATATCGTTAGCCAAACATGTGGCTGCAATACACCCAGGCCAGTCCCCTTAGCCAACCTCAAGAAACTAGCCCCACCCCTGGGGGGAGAAGAAAAGAGCAGGCAACTGACAAGTGTGTATGAGGTTCCCAGAAGAGCAGGCGGCTTCCCTGGAGCTCAGCAGCAACTTGCAACCCCTAGATCAAATGCAGGCCACAGGGGGAGAGGGTGGGTGACAGGACAGATGGATCTGAGATCAGAGACGGCAGGAGAATAGAGGACTCACTGCTTGACAACTATTTTTCGTTACTGGTGTCTTCTCCACCGAGTCAATAGTGATTGTCATGGCTGACTCCAACGTTAGCTGCTGCTGGAAGCGTTTCTGCAGCTCGAGCAGAGGCAGTGGCAGCTTCGGGTAAGACGCAGGCTTCTCCTACAAACCCAAAACAGTAACACCAATTATACATCACAGAAGTTAATTCTTGACCACCCCACCAATGGGGGGAGAGGCACAGATGAGATGAGAAGGCAGCCAATCAAAGCCAGACATGGCTTGACATGGCGTAGAAACAAAGGGTCACCCTCCAGCAGTCCAAGAGCCTCTCCCTCAGGAAGGAGCCCACCTATGACAGTAAGCACCAAGAAGTATGACTGTCTTTCCTAACAGTGCAGTCCTGATTTCTCTTATGATGACCTTATGGATGACCTGTCATCCAGACCTTTTATCCTAACCCCTTCTGAGCCTCTGGGGTTATCAGCATGATTCTGCAATGACCATCAAAGAGTTTCTGCTGCTCTTTATTCACAAACTCTGACAGTCTAAAAGGACCACAGAATAGTATGGTCCAACCCCTTGGTTTTAAAGGGGAGAAAACAGGCTCAGAAAGAGGAATGAACTCGTTCACAATGATGGTGCTAGTAACTGGAAGAAGCAGGACTCAAGCCCAGGGACCGGAGCCCTTCAGCTTCTCCAAAGGAACAGCCTCAAGACAAGCCCTATTCAAAACATGGACTTGCGGTAGAATGAGCTAAGTGCCCTCACAGCCCTGAGTGAAGTGAATCAAAAGGACGCCCAAGGTCACCTTGGAATAGAAGTCTCTAAGCAGAGGAGATATGGCGATCTTGTGGGAGGATGCTGGGGGGGGTGAGAATCCTGGCTCCACCTTCTGGATGGCTTTCAGCACCATCATCCTCTCCTGCTTGTGGAGTGCCCCCTTGTGGAAAAGGTTCTCCAGCTGCAGGCCATCTGTCACCATCTGCTTCAGACAGCTGTGTGGAAAGGCAGACAAATAAGAAGCTAGGGCCAGTGGTTCCCTCCTTTATAGATTTAATGTCTCCTTAGGATAATTTAATTCAGCAACTAGTAATGAAACTCCTACTACGTGCCAGAGGCATTATGCTTTATACTGCAAACAAAAAGCCAAAAACAGAATAGACCTTGCCTGTCCCGTATGGAACTCACAACATAAAGATTCCCAGACAGAGAAGTATAAGATAGGGAGTGAAGCCAAGACATCCAAGTACTTTCAGAAATATCTGAAGAGGAAGAGCACTATTTGCTAGGTGGGAAGGCTTCATGATGGTGGTGGCACCAGAGCTGAGCCCTGAAGGAAGACCAGATTTATCAAAGGTAAGAATGAAGGAGAACCTGATGCAAAGATTCTTAATTTTATGTAATCAAAATTTTACCTCACTTGAGTCTATCTATCCCTTGTTTTATAATGAACTCTTCTCTACATAGGTCTGACAGGTCATTTCGTTCTTATTCCTCCTAAGCTGTTTATGATGTCACTTTTAATGCCAAAGTCATGGACCCATTTGGAGATTATCTTGGTATTCAGTGTGAAATGCTGGTCCACATCTACTTTCTGTAAGACTGTTTTCCAGTTTTCCCAACAGTTTTTGTCAAATAGTGAGCTCTTGTAGCAACAGCTAGGATCTCTGGGTTTAACAAACACTAGGCTACTATGCTTGTTTGTTTCTGTATATCTCTAATTTATTCCCCAGATCAACCTATTTCTAAACCAGTACCAGACTGTTTTTAATTACTGTTTTGTAGTACAGTTTGAGATGTGGTACTGCTAAGCCTCCTTCTTTCTCACTTGTTTTCATCACTTTCTGTGAATTTCTTGAATTTATATTCATCCAAATGAATTGTATTATTTTTTTCTAGCTCTTTAAAATGTTGGTGCTTGGTACTTCGTTAGTGGTTTGATTAACATGGCACTAGTAACCTGATCTTAAGTGAATAAATTAATTAAAGTGACAGTAACATTTTTATTATATTGGCTCACTGGCTTATCCATAAGCAATGACTATTTCTCCAATTATTTAAATATGTCTTTATTTGTTGAAGTGTTTCATATTTGTGTTCATATAGTTCCTATGTGTGTCTTGACAGATTCTCAAGTATTTTATACTTTTTTATATATGTTATTTTAAGTGGAATTTATTTCTCCAGCTGAATTTTATTGGTAATACCCAAAACAGCTGCTCACTTCTGTGTTTTTTAATATCCTGAAACTTTGCTGAAAAGGTCGTCTTGATTAGTTTTTTGGTAATCTCTCTAGGGTTTTCTAAGTAAACCATCATATTATCTGCCAAAAAACAGTATTTTCTTTCCTTTTTGCCCCTGCTTACTCCTTCCATTTCTTCTCCTTGTTTTACTGCTATAAGTTAGCATTCTTAAAGCTCTACTGAATAGTAATGACACTAGAGGACATCTTTGCTCTACCCTAGATCTCACTACAAAGGCCTTTACAGAGAACTTTGCCTCTTGGTTTTAGATAGATACTATTTATCATATTAAGGAAAGATCCACGTATTCCTGTGCTTTCTAGTGTTTTTAACAGAACTGTAGCTTGTCAAGAGCTTCTTCTGCTTTTATTGATTTAATCACGAATTTTATTGTTCTTGTATCTTGTTATTAACATAGTCAATTTTGTTTATAGTTTTCCTAATAACCAGTCCTGCATTCCTGATATAAATCCAATCTGGTCATAATGCATGATCTTTGTGATAGGTTGCTATAGTTGGGGCAACTAGGTGGTGCAGTGGATAGAGCATCAGTCCTGAAGTCAGGAGGACCTGAGTTCAAATCCAGCCTCAGACACTTGACACTTACTAGCTGTGTGACTCTGGGCATGTCACTTAACCCCAATTGCCTCACCAAAAAAAAAACATGTTGCTGTAGTCTTCTTGTAATATTGTATTTAATATGTTTGCATCAATTTCACTAGAGATATTGGTTTATAGTTTTCTTTCTCTCTTTTGATTCTCCTTGGCTTAGGGATAAAGACTATACTGCATCACAAAAATAATTTGGTAAGACCACCTCTTCCCCCCACCTCTTTTTTTCCTAAAAAAAACTTGGGAAGACTAGTATGAACTGATGCATAGTGAAGTGTACAGAACCAGGAGAACTATTTATACTGTAACAGTAATACTGTAAACTGCTACTATTATAAATAGTAAAATTACAAAAATCAACTTTGGAAAACTCAGTAACTGATCAATACAAAGATCCACCACAATCCCAAAGAACTCATGCTGAAACATGCTACACACCTCCAGAAAGAGAGCTGATGGATTCAGAGAGCAGACCGAAGTATATTTTCTTCTTTCTTCTTCTTGCTTTTATTTTTTTTGGGGGGGGGATGTTGTAGAAAGGTGGAATATGGCTAATGTGGAAACATGTTTTGCATGACTACACATATCTGTAATGGGTTTTATTTTCTCAATAGATGGGGGAGGGGAACAAACTGAAAATTTCTTTTTTTTTAAAGGAAAAGGAAAAAAAAGATACTTTTCAGTGTGGCCTGGTAGACAGAGTACTAGGCTATAAAATTAGGAACACTTAGGCTCAACTCCCTCCAGTGACAATTAGCTAAATGATCATCTACAAGTTATTTAACCTTTCTAGCTCAGTGTCCTCCCCTGTAAAATGCAGTATCTACCTCACAAGAATATTATAAGGTTCCAACAGCACTTTGCAAAAATGTCAAGTGCTGGGATAGGGGAGGGGGAAAGAACTATTGATTCCCAGAGAGGGCAGGGTCAGGAAGGAATCTGGCGAAGGCCTCCACTGGCAGAAAGAATGAGGAAAAGCAAGTGAGAGAGGACCCAAGTCAAGTCACCCAGAAGACTTCCTACCACTTGCTCTACCTTGGATGTGCTCCTGAACAGCAAGAACTTTTGACCTTAGTGTTTGGACCTGACCAAAGTGCCCACCAGAGGACAGCTCCCCACTTCCCTCCCACCGCACCGCCACTTGAGGCTTCTGGGAACTACTGTCCCTCCTGTCAGCTCTTTTTTTTACTACCTCCACAATTAGGGCAACCCAAACAGTTCTCAGCAAAGCCCTTTCCTTTCCCTCCTCTCTCAGAACTCTCTGTCCCCTGGGGTCTCAGGCCCCCCAAGAAGGTGAAAAGGAACAGGACCATAGGACACTGAAGCTGGAAAGAGGCCCTATGCGGCAAGTCTAGCCCCTGACATCAGTCTTTGGGGAGAATATTAAAAAGGCCTTTCAAGGAGGGACAGGGCACCAGATAGCAAATGATCTGGGAATAGAGACTTGGATTACCTGCAGGATTTGTGGACTGTAGACCTGAGCCTGGGCTCAGAAATGCTCAGAGGGGGTGAGGGGACCAAGCAAGCCACCACCAGCACAATATGTGTGCTCAGTGAGTAAGCTGCCAGTAAGTTCAGATCAGGACTAAGACCAAGACCTGGAGAGAGCAGCTGAAGTCTGGGATGAGAGTTGTAGAAAGCTGAAACCCTTGGAGGACTGGAGAAGTAGAACTTCAGTTTAATTCCAAGGTCCTTCTGTACAGAACCACTGGCTTTGGAATCAGAGGACCTGGGCTCAAATCCTGGCTTTTCAACTTGTGTGACCTGGGGTAAGTCACTTCACTTTGCTGATTCTTTTTCCTCACTTCTAAAGTGAAAGGACTGGGGGCAGCTAGGTGGCGCAGTAGATAGAGCACCGGCCCTGAAGTCAGGAGGACCTGAGTTCAAATCCGGCCTCAGACCAAACACTTGACACTTACTAGCTGTGTGACCCTGGGCAAGTCACTTAACCCCAATTGCCTTAAAAAAAAAAAAGTGAAAGGACTGGCCCAGGTGACCACCTCCAGATCTCTGAACAAAGGGAGTGCAGAGCAGAATGGCACAGGGGTGCCATATACACACTGCACTGATTCCCAGGGAGATAAAAGGCATGCTTGAGTAGAAAGGGAACCATCAGTAGGCCCAGGGGCAGCTTTACCTCTCGATGATTTTGAAGTCTGCATTTACTCGACCCATACACTCCAGAACTGAAGCATAGGAAACCAGGTCAGGAGTCAGCCCCGACTCATTCATCACGGAAAACAAGGTGCTTATTTGATGCAAGGATCCCTGAGAGAAGGGGAAATAGACAAAAGGCCTGAGCTCTTAGTCACAGAAGCCTTACCCAGGCCTTCGGTGGAACCACCCCTTTCCAATAATCCCACCAACATTGTCCACTGCCCCTCAGTCAAATGATCTCTGTACTGTGCCTCCCCCCTCCCTCCTTAACCAAATTTGTTAAGTTACCTGGGTTCACACTTGTTGTAATGATTCCCCTCCCCCAAAACATTACCTGCCCCACTCTGCTGCCAAAAAGAGAAGAAAGCAACACCTAGTGAGAGTTAGAGAGCCCAATCCACACTGATGACAGAGCTGCCACTTGTCCCCAACTTTAATAGCTTCCATAAAGGATGCAGACATGGGCACAATGGAGGCAGAAGCAAAAGGGTGTCACCATGGGAAAAATGGGCAGGATGGAGGGAAGTGGGCTACCCAGGCAGGAACATCCTCCACCTGCACTGGGCAAGAGCTGAGGAGGCCTTCTAGTGTAGTCACAGGCCAGGGCTGATTAATTTTTCTGAACTTTAGTTTCCTCATTTGTGAAATGGGGATAGCTACCTCATAAGGTTGTTGTGAGTCTTAAATGAGAAAGAAAACAGAAGGGCTTTGGAAAGCAAAGACTGTTAGACACACATTAAGAAACTACTCTTGGGGGCTGCCAGGTGAGGCAATAGATAGAGCACCTAGAGTCAGGAGGACCTGAGTTCAAATCTGGCCTCAGACATGTAACACTCACTAGCTGTGTGACCCTGGACAAGTCACTTAACTCCATTGCCTAGCAAAAAAAAAAAAACCAAAAACCAAAACAAAAAAACTACCATTACTTTTTGGGGATGACATGGGAACATTCTAACAATGTACCCAGAATAGTGTGCTAAGGAGATTTGGTAACATGGAGGGGGGGGGAGCAGTGAGGGAAGACTTCAAGTATGAGGTGATGCCAGAGGGCTGCCCCGTACTCAGGGCATACACTACCCAGTGACCCCAGGAGGGATGTCCAAGCTACCCAAACACACAATTTAGATTCCAGGGCAGGACTTAATAGGCACCAGTGGCAACCTAGGCAAAGGGAAAGGAAGAGACTTCCCCTTCCGGGGAAGCAGCCTTGGCAGAGACAGTCTTACCTGCTTGGCCCAAGCTTTCAAGAGGCAGTTGTACATGGGCAGGGTCAGCACCCTCCGGCCACCTGAGTGACCAAAGTATGAGAGAAGCAGATCACTGGCTTGTGTCAGACGATTCTGAGAGAGCAAGCACTCCAGACAGGACAGAAGTAAAAGCTGTTTTCCGGAATGTCTAAGCACTTCAGACATCTGCCCAGAGGGATCCGAGTCAACAACATAAGTTTTGTTCCTCTCCAGAACTTTCAGAGCCTTTTGAAAAGGCTCCTGTCTCACAGTGTCGTGTGCAGTCTCCTGCCCGGCTACGGCCGTCTCTTCACCAATATCAGCTTTCTCTTTCCCAGTGTCAGGCATCCGTTTGGTAGATTTCAATTTTCTGCTAAGAAATGCTCTCACTCCCTTCTTTATCTGGGATTCACAAAAGGTCTCTTCCTTGAGCCTGACTTCCAGGTGCTGCTGTCTCTTGTACAAATCACTCTTTTCCTGAGTGAGCTTCTCCACCCACCGGCTTCGGGTCTTACCCACCACGGGCACCACACTGCTGGCATCTCCCTTGGCTCTGTCCTCCACCAGTCCAAGGGCCTCTAAGTCCTTCTGACTGCCTGTCCTCAGTGGGGCCACTTCCACTCGATTTACGGTCACTTCGGATACGTACTCAGTCTGAAGTTGTCTTACTCGGGCCTCTAGCACTGAGTCCAGGAGAGAAGAGAAGGCACAATCACAACTGTGCACCTGAAGCTGCGGGCTTTGCCCATAGCACCTAATCCTTCATCCACAGGACAGGTCTTTTAAGTTGCTCCCCATACTCAGGGCTGAGATGTTTCCCCAGGTTCAATTCTATTTCAGATGGCCCCGACAGCCTAGTGACTTAGGAAGCACCTGAGCTGGACTGAATCTCCCAGGGCTCAGGCCCAGCCCTCTATTCTTACCCCAAACTGAAGCCAAACCCATTAGGTCCTTGAGGCAATATGAAATGGGTTCAAAGTCATTCACCTCCTGGCATTCTGATCTTATCTGATTTCAAGAACCAGCTAGTGACTACCTCCATGCCTAGCATTGTCCCAGGCACTTCAGGGAGAATATAAAAAAGAGGAAAAGGCGCAGTCCCTGCCCTCGATGGACATCTAATCTAATTACAGTATGTCAACCTCACTGGCCTCTCTGCAGCTTGTGATCCTACTCATATTCCCCCTTCCTGATCATTCTCTCCTCCTCCCTTGACTTCTAACATTGATGACATTGCTCTCTTGAGTCTCCTCCTTCCTGTCTTGACCATTTCTTCTCCATTTGCTTTGCTGAATTATCACCCATCTCCTGCCCCCTAACCACAAGTATCCCCCAAAAGTTCTGTCCTGGGCCACGTTTTCTCTCTGTGATTTCATCAGCTCCCATGAACTCAGTGATCTATTCAATATAGATGACTGTCACCCTTATATATCTCATCCCAGTCTCTCCCCTGACTGGGACCATCTCCAGTCGTCCTGATCTATATCTTGCCACTGGACCCAGATGACTCTGGAGGAGAAAGTGAGGCTGGTGACTCGGCACCTCCCTCGCTTAAATCCAATTCACTTGCACATCATAGCATTCACCTTCCTGATGTTATGGTCTGCTTTGAGAAACAAAGGACAAACAACAACAAAACAAAAACCTCTCCTGACCTCCAGTCTTATATCACTAACTACCTCCACGTCTTTCAATGTGTCCAAAATGGAACTCATAATCTTTCCCTCATACCTTCCCATCCTCTGATGAGAGCACTGCCATCTTTCCAGTGACTCAGGTTCATAGCCTAGAAAGGACTCATCTTCATCTTCATCCTCTTCTATCCTAGCCCTTCCCATTCACCTCCAATCAGCCCCAGGGTCTTGCTAGGTCTATGTCATATAATCTAGCCTGTCAGCCCCATTCTTTCCACTCATACCATGACTACCCTAGGACAGGCCCTCCTCACCTCTCCCCTGCACATGTATGATGGCTTCCTAATTGGGCTTCCTCTTCCCAGTCTTTTTCCTTTCCAAACTATCTTCTATCCTGGGCCACAATAGTTTTCTCCAAAAGCACAGGCTTGACCATGTCACTCCCCTCTTTCAAAATCCCCATCAGCTTCTATTACTACTGAGAAAAATTCCTGCTTTGGCATCAAAGGCCCTTGACAATCTGGAGCCATCCTGCCTTTCCAAATATATTTCACGTTTTCCCTTCACATATTCCATGCAAAGGCCAAACTGGCCTGCTTGTTGTTCCTTAAATCCAACCTGTCATCTTTCCCCTCCATCCCTTCACGCCCCATCTCCTCAGTCCCACCTCTTAGAATTCTTAGCTTCCGGCTCTGATTCTTATAATCTAGCCACCGCGCAGATTTTCACAATCTAGCCAATAGCCTGCAGATGCTCAGATTCCTTAAGAGTCTAGCTAATATGGCAAATCTTCAATAAATAAACCTTGTTTTTTGGCTGAAAGAAGGCTTGGGTTGAATTCTTTTGGGCAGGACCCGCGTGTCATAATTTTGGGATTCCAGCACCCCTTACCTCTAGACCTCATCATATGGTTCCCTGCACCAGGAAAAACTACCTATAACAAGCTCTTTACCACCTGGGACTGGAAGATTTGTGTCTTCCAGACTACAGGCCATTCACCTACAGTTGGTAGCAAACAGTGAGTACCAGCCAATGTCTCCCCATCGTTTCCTGGATGCAGTCTGTGCTCCATTCCAGTCAACCTCTTTGGGACCCTTTTGAGGAAGGGACAGCTCTATGCCAACAGGAAGCAGTTTCAGAAGGCAAGACCTTCGCCCCTTACCCCAAAAGAATTTGCTTGGGTCCCATTTGTTTGAGGGGGGAATGATGAAGATGGGAGCTAGACCCCAAAAAGTAAAAACCCTGGACTTTCCCACATGGCCTAATCTCTGGAGTTCCCCTGAGGTTATAATCCTATCAACTGGCCTTTCATGGTGGCTATGCCCAATCTCTCACCCTTAACCTAGCCTGGTCCTCCACTGTTTTACCTCCCTGTGACCCCTGGCCATTTCCCACTCTTAATCCTATCTAGGCTCCATTCTCCCTTGACCATCCCTGGAGTTCTATTACCTCAGACTACTTGGCCACTCCTCGATCCCTCCCATAGTCTTTCTGTATATAAAGTCCATCTTGTCTCCATTAAGATGCTCTGATTTTTATAATCTAGCCACCGCGCAGATTTTCACAATCTAGCCAATAGCCCACAGATGCTCAGATTCCTTAAGAGTCTAGCTAATATGGCGAATCTTCAATAAACCTTGTTTATGGCTAAAAAAAAAAAAATTCTTAGCTTCCTTCAAGGCTCAGTTCCAGAGCTCCCTCCTCCATAGAGCCTACTGGTGCTCCCACCCTCCCTCTCAAATTAACTTGTATTTCCTCTTCTATGGACACGTCATATGCCCCAAGAAAATGTAAATTCCTTGAAGACAGGCTTAGGCCAGGACCTGGCGCACAGAGGCATTTAATATATGCTTGCTGAATTGTACTGTACAGTGCAGATAAGACAGTTCAATGCCCCACAGAGGCAAGACGTGCTCAGTGTAGGTCCTCCCTCCAATATCTTTTGACTGGAGGCAACAGCTCTCTGAACTCAGCTGGGCAGCTCCTTGAACAACAGACACAAAATCAATCACTTTGGGTACAAAGCCCATGAGGGAAATCTTTTCAACTTGGAAGGCTCTGCTGGCCTCACCTAGGAGAATGAGAAGAGTCCTCACATCCCAAAGACATACCAGTCAAGTCCTTTATTAAAGCTAAAATGGGGGGCAGCTAAGTGGCACAGTGGATACAGCACCAGCCCTGGAGTCAAGAGGATCTCAGTTCAAATCCCGCCTTAGACACACGATACTCACTAGCTGTGTGACCCTGGGCAAGTCACTTAACCCCATTGCCTAGCAAAAAAAAAAAAAAAAAAAAAAAAGCTAAAATAGGCAAGAAACAATCATACAATCATAGTCTCCACACAGCAGTTCACACTTTATAGAGCACTTATCTCACTGAGATGGAGACAGTACAGGTAATTATTCCTACTTTACAGATAAAGATTCAAAGAAGCTGAGTGATTCCCCTGTTCTTAAGGGCCAGAGTGAGGCCCCAAGTTCTGTCTCTGAACAGATAGCAAGAAGCAAGTATGAGACTGTGGTAAGGATGAGAAAGGCTACAGAGCCCAGAAGGGAAAGACTGCTCTGAACTGCCAGAAAAAGTTCTGGGAAGAAGACAAGAAGTGTCCCTGAGCAAAGGAGAAGGAGGAAGGGGACCTTTTGGGCACCTCAACTTATTCTTTCCTTCCTTCATGTATTCAGCAAGTGTTATTAAAAAAGTACTTATGTACAAGGAAATACAAAATACAAAGAAAAAAGAAAATCATTCCTGCCCACCAGGAGTTAACACTCTAATATGGGGGAAAAAGAGAAATACACATTAGTATAAAGTAAATTCAAAATAATTTGTGGGGGGTGGAGAAGGGGGAGGGAAGATACTACCAACTGGGGGGATCAAGAAGCTAAGCCTTGAGATCTCAGACAACTCAAAAAGACTCATGATGGAAAACGCCCTCCAGAAAGAGAACTTTGGAGTCTGAATGCAGATCGAAGCACACTATTTGCTCTTCTTTTCTTTTGATGTTTTGTTTAGTTTCTTCTTCCTAGTGGTTCCTCCCATTAGTTCTAATTCTTCTTCATATCATGACTAATGTGAAAATACGTAAATGAATGTATAAGTAGAGCACGCATCAGATTGCATGGCGTCTTGGGGAGGGGGAAGGAGAGAGAGAGGAGGAAAAGATTTAAAACTCAAAATCTTATGGAAGTAAAATGTTGAAAACTAAAAATAAATTAATAAATTATGAAGAAGAAGAAGAAGAAGAAGAAGAAGAAGAAGCAGAAGAAGCAGAAGAAGCAGAAGCAGAAGCAGAAGCAGCAGCTGAGCCTTGAAGGAGCTGGGAACTTGTGAAATCTAAGTGAGGGATCAGTGCACTTTGAGCATGGGAGACAGCTCTCGCAGACGCCAAGAGGGGAACAGCCAGGGGTCCAGTTCATAACGTAAGACTGTGTGAACAAAGAAGGCCTGGCTGGGGCCAGACGGTGAAGGGCTTATCCTAGAGGCAGTAACTGGGAGTTCCTGGAATGACATGGTCCAGGCTTATGCATCAGGAATAGCAGCTTGGAAGAGTTACAGAAGACGTATTGAAGTGGAAAGAGCCCAGGAGCAGAGAAGCCACCTTCACTTGCCATTAATTATACACAGCCTGTATGTTGTTGTTGTTTTTTGGCCACCACCTTAGTGAAATACCCTGAGAGGATCCCACAATTCTCTAATCCCATACAATCCCGTGTACAGAGTTTACAGTGAAGAGTAAAGAACTAGTATTTGGTAAACCCAAGGACTCTGACTACCAGGGTAAAGACATGTCATCCAACAAAAACTGCTAGAAAACTGGAAAGCAGTTTGACAAAAATTAAGCTTAGAATGACATTTTATACCACATACCATACTAAGATCCTAATATATATGTCTAAAATACAGAAGGTTGAATAGAAAATGGAAGGGGGTAATTTTGTACAACTTTACCTAGAAGAAGAATTCTTAAATCAACATAGGATAAAGGTGTTCCTAGAAGACACAATAGACAGTTGTGATTGATTTCAACAAAGTTGAAGTCTTTATAAAAACAAAATCAATGCAGCTGAATTAGAAGAGAAGTAATTCAATGGTGAAAAAACCTTTACAGTAAACATAAAACAGTTGATCCTTAACATTCACGAATTTAACTTTCTTGACTTCAAGCAGTCATGTGATTTTATTAGTAACCTCATTTTCACTTTTTTGTTGGCAACTCTGCACATTTGTGGCTATGTGCAATAGAGAAAAAAAATGAGGCATGAAGTACCCTCTCGCCAAAATCGCCATCGTCTGCCCGACGCAGTTCAACCACAAAGCCAAAACGGCATGTAGAGATGGCAGGTTGCCCCTTTCCCTTCTTCTGACATTGTGCTGCCGCTGCCCCTGCCCCTCCCCAACTCGTCTGGTGTTGCCTCTCCTCTCCCCTTTATTTTAGGGGTTATTTCACAGCTGCTGTTAGGAAAAGTGCATATTATCAGAATTAATGTTTTGTTACAAAGAACTGTATGCAGAAAAGTGTATCTTCAGCAATCTCTAGTGGACGATTAGTTTTTGTTGGTCATAAGTACCTAACCCCATATTTCCCATAGTTTGATGCAGCAACATTCACATTTTTTACTTTCGTGCTTTCAGCCCCCTAAAAAATCAGGGACTGACTGTGTATTAAAGGACTGATATCCAAGATGAACTTGGAACTGGTACAAATCTTTAAGAACAAGAGCCATTCCCAGCAGTTAAGTGGTCAAAGGAAATGAATAGGCAGTTTTCAAAAGAAGTAAATATAGGTTGTCAATAATAATATGAAAAAACGCTCCAACTCATTAATAAAAAAGAGAATGCAAAATAAAACTGTGACTTTTTTTTTTAATAAATTGTATCTAGTACTTAGCACGGTGCCTTGCATATAGTAGTTGCTAAATAAATATTTACTGGAACAGCAACATTGTGTGATGACCAACTTTGATAGGCTTAGTTCTTCTCAGCAATGCAATGATCTAAGAGAACTCTAAAAGACTCGTTATGGAATATGCTATCCACATCCAGAGAAAGACCTATGGATCTGAATGCAGATCGAAGCATACTATTTGCTTTTTTTTTCTTCCTCATGGTTCTTCCCTTTTGTTCTGATGCTTCTTTCACAACATGACTAATGTGGAAACATGCTTAACATGATTGTATATGTATAGCCCATATCAGACTACATGCTATCTTGGGGAGGGGGGAGAGGAAGGAGGGGGAAAATTTAGAACTCAAAATCTTATAAAAGTTAATGTTGAAAACTAAAAATAAATAAATAAATAAAAATTTTTAAAGGGCATTAAAAAATAAAAAAGAAATGTTTACTGGATATTGGATGTTTCACTTCATATTCATCTGATTAACAAAAGACTAAAATAGTAAATGTTGGTGTGGCTATGGAAAGATAGATTCAATAATATACCATTGGTGGAACCATGAATTGGTTTTAAATCGATCTGACTGTTCTAGAAAACACTTTTGGAATTATACTAAAAAGGTCATTAGACCATACATACCCTTTGAACCACTGACATTAGTAACTGGCATATACTCTAAGAAGATCAAAGAGAGGTAAATGTCCCATATATACAAAATACTCACAGCAGCAGTTTTTGTAGAAGTAAAGAGCTAGAAGGAAACTGTGTGTGTGCCCAGAGATTGAGGAATGCCTGACAAGTTGTGGCACATGAATATTATTGTACTACAAGAAACGAGCATAAAGAATTCAGAGAAACTTGGGAAGGCTTGCATGAACAGATGCAGAGCAAAGCAAGAAGAACCAGGAAAAGTTTACTCAATGACCACGATAATGTAAAAGAAAACCACACTCATAAAGACTTGAAACTCCGACTAATGCAGTGACCAATCATGACTTCATAAGACTCACAGTAAAGCAGCCCAGAACCCTTCCTAAGTGATGTGAGCACTCCTCAGACCCACTATCAAAATGAACGAAATCAATTTTGAGCTTGTCTCTAGAGGCAAACAGGCTGCCCTGAACTAACCACACTGTCTTCCCAGCCTTCCCCAAGAACAATGAGGCCTGGAACCATGAAATAGTGTCTGCTCAGTATCATCAGTTGTAAAAGTAGGGGGATGGATTAGATGGCCTCCCGCCCTGGGGCTATAATCCTATGATCTCCATCTTTACTGGGAGGCGCCTTCTCCAGACACCACTAAAATGATCTCTCCCTTTCTACTCCAGTTTCTTAGCCAGAACTCTCCCCTCCTTCCTGCTCCTCTCACTTTCCCTTACAGTTATTTTGTGAGGGTTTTCCCTTGATTAAGTTGAAACCTGTTTGAAAGGAGGCTGTGTGTCTCATCTTTCTATCTTCAACACTTAATTCAGGACCTGGTAGATAGAATGCACTTAAGCAAATCTCTAAAGTGAGTGAACAAATGAAATCAATGAATAATTAAGTGTCTACTATTTGTTAGGAACCTGGGATACAAATAGAGAATTGAGACACTCTGCTCTCAAGAAGTATCCCTTTGGGGGATGCAACAGCTAGTTAACACAGCAGAGTGAGTCAGGAAGATCTCAAACCCAGCCCCAGACACTTACTAGCTGAGTGATCTTGGGTCAACCTGTTTGCTTCAGTTTTCCCATCTGTAAAAATGGGGATAATAACAGCACTTCCTTCTCAGGGTTGTAAGGATCAAATGAGAAATTTGTAAAACTCTAAAGCACTATATAAACACCAGCTATTATTGTTATTATGTTCACAGATTTTGTGGATATATACAACACAAATACACAGGGAAGGAGGATTGGGTGGGGCCCGCCCAATCAGAGGAATGGAAAAAAGGCCTTTTGGAGGAGAGGGAGATCCATCTGTGCCAGGAAGGAAGCCAAAGACTTCTCTAGAGGAGGCATAGCACTTCACACATTGGGGGGAAATCCACAAAACAGGAAAGGGAATGCTGCCTAGGGGAAACAGCAAGCAGACCAGTCTGGCAAACACTCAGCATGTGTGAAGGGAATAATGTGCAGTCAGCTTGGAAATAGAGGCAGAGGCCAGACTGTGAAGGGCTTTTGAAGTGAGAGATGTCTGAACCTTATCCTAAAAGTATTAGGGAGTCTTTAACGCTCCCACACGTACACTTTGGGACTAGCAATCAATGAAGGGTAACGTGTTTTCAAGAAAACTGTTTTCCCTTGGGAGCCTCTCCCAACCACAGCTTATCAAACTCCCCAGGGTCCCAAACTTACCTTCCAATAGTTCCACTTGCCCTGCATCCCTCCTCCTATCCTGTTCTGGAGCATTGACTGAGTAACTTCTGCCCCAAGTCCAAGAGGCCCCTGTAGGAAAAAAGATTATTAACTCCAGAGCCTAGAAGGGGGCAGGAATGGCTCCAAGAACTGAGTCCTCTTCTACCTCCAGGCCCCCTAATATTTGTAAAGTGCTTAGCACAGTGTCCAGCATATAGTAGGCCCTTAATAAATGCTTGTTCCTTTCCCTCCCCCCTCCTCATCTGGGAAGAGGCAGCCAGGGCCCTGACATCACCAGGTTAGGGCAATGGTGTACAATAGACAGGATTTGGTCCAAATGCCTGCATCCAAGGCCTGAGTCTTACTCCCCATGTAATCTTGGAGAAGTCTCTTCTCCTCCTTTGGCCTCAAGTCTCTTTACCTGCCACACACTGGGAGCTAAACCATTAAGCCTCCTAAGCTCTAGACCTGTGGTTCTATGGCCTAGTCTCTGGTCCCCCAGGCTGAGTGGCAGATCTGGGAAGGGTTTATTTAGGGCGCAGACAATGAGCTTAGGAGACAACTGAGCCAGAGACTCTTCGGTCAATTCAGACAATGTCAGAGGCCATGGAGGGAAGGAAACAATCACAGCCCCTACCTCCCAGGGTGGCTGTGGGGATTCAATGAGATAATATTGGCAAAGCACTTAACACAGTGCCTGGTGCATAAGAAGCTGGTAAATGCTTGTTTCCTTCCTTATTGGGTACCTATTATGTGCTACACACTGTGCTAAGTCCTTTGCAAATATCTAACTGGATCCCCACATCAACCCTGGGAGGTAGAGGCTATTATCATCATCTCCATTTTACAGCTGAGGAAACTAAGGCAGTCAGACGGGAAGGTCGTGTCCCCAGAGCCACACAACTAGTAAGTGTTCGAGGCAGGATTTGGACCCAGGTCTTCCTGTCCACTCTATCCTTGCTGTCATGGGGTCAAAGGTCATAAGCTTCCCTGACGGTAAAAGATATTGGGGAGGGAATAAGGGCGAATATTAGAAAGTGGGGGTTAAAGGTCAGAGACTTTAAAAAGTCCGCGAGTGTGGGTTCAAAGGCAGGTCACTAAGTCAAAGATCAAGCCTCTTCAAACTCGCGGTTGGCGTGAAGGAAGGTCTGGGGTTACCAGACATCTGACCCGCAGGGTCGGGGCTAAATAAGGGGTCAAACGAGTGCTGGGGGGTGGGAACCGAAAGGCTCTTTCTAAGGGTCAAAGGTCACGGACACACCGTCCTGACAGGGATTCGGGGGGCTCCCATTTACCTTTCTCGGGACCGGGGCAGGCGCTGCCCTCGGGCCGCAGGGCTCTACCGAGCCCTGCCGTCCCCCGGCTCAGCAGCGAAGCCCTCAGCCGAAGCACCGACATGCCGGCGGCCCAGGGGGGGCCCCAGCGCAGCACGAGGATCTGCCACACCACCCTCGCCGCCGCGAGCCCCGGAGGGGATCGCCCTCGAACACGCAGGCGCGCGCGCTCCGCGCTGGCTGCTGGGAGTCGTGGTCTCAGTTTCCTCGGGGAAGTGCGACCCCAGGCACTCAGGGGCGGGGCGCTTACACTACAAATCCCATGGAGCCATGCGGAGGGCGGGGCGGGGCCGGAGGTTGCCGACAATATGACTTCTGATTGGCTATGCTGCCTATCCATCTCCCGCTCGAAGAGAGAGTTATGGGGTGGAGAAAAGTCTGTTTAGGAAGGCTGGCTTCCAGGCCTTTAGAGGCTTGCTAGTTCTCCCTACTTCCGGGGCGGGAATTCCACTCCCCAACTGGTCTCCCCGATTAAAATACGCTCCTTTCTCATAAGATTGTTCTGAAGACCAAATGAGTAAAGTGCTTGAAGTTTACATAAATGCTACCTCATAAATGCAAGTGAAAAGGGTTGTCTTGGTCCTCCAGTCTTTCTAGGGAACTTTGGGTCTCTCCGACCCCCACCAATCTTATGCTGTATTCCACTTGGCTGACATTCATGTTTATTAGACTGAAATTTCCTTAACCAGGCATTTTTTCACCTCTGTATCCCTAGGACTGAGCATAAATCAGAGTAAGCACACAGTAGGTGCATACTAAATGCAGGATGAGTGAGTGAGCCACAGCATCCCAGGTGCTTTTCGGTGGGGACAGAGATTGTTGTTGTTTATCCTTCATTCTCAAAGAGAATCATTACATCAAGTGAACTGGATTACAGTGAGGGAGGGGGGCTCCCATTTACCTTTTGGTGACTTTGCACAGGCAAAATCTCTAGCCTCACTTTCTCCTCCAGAGCCATCTGGGTCCAGTAGCAAAATATAGATCAGGACGACTGGGGATGGCCCAGGATTCCCTGAGGGCAATTTGGCCTTTTCAAGCTAGGGTCTTTGCCAAGTTTGTCTGAGGCAACACCTAGTGATTAAGGCTAGGTAAGAAATGAGGCAGAGAATGGCAGTCTTTACCTAGGTTAAAAAAATCCATCTGGAAAAAAAAATTAAAATTAAAATAAAAAAAATCCATCTGGAAGGAGATTCTGGCCAAACAGAAACAATTGCTATTTACATTCACTTTGAGCCAATCAGGGCCCAAACAATGACCAAGTCGGGCTTGGCCTGGGACCTATTGTTGGCCAATCAATGAGAGTCAGAATGGTTTGGGGTTAAGGTGAGGTCTTTAAAGAAAAAAAAAGGTTTCAGGGATCAAAATTTTCCTTTAGGCAAGAGAATCTGCAGGTAACTGTATGATACGTTATGTGAACAGAAGAGAGAGAGAGAGAGAGAAAGAAAGAGAGAGGGAGAGAGAGAAGAAAGAAGGAAGGAAGGAAGATCAAGCTGTGTTGCCCAACTGGCCAGTTGCAGTTGGATCCCCAGGGGGACAGCTCCTATTTTCTACTCACCGAGGTTGTTTGTCCTTCATTCTTTTTTTTTCTTTTTTTTTGTCCTTCATTCTTGAAGAGGACCATGACATCAGGGAGGTGATGCCATGACTTGCAAGTGAGTTGGATTTAAGTGAGGGACAGGGAGGGGAAAAGAAGAATTCTAAGATTATGAAAATGAAGCCCTCTACTGCTCAGCCCTCACATAACCCCGGGTGGGGAGGAGAGGGAGACAGGGAACTCCCTGAGGGGATAATAGGAGACTTAAACTAGTGACCAGTTTTCCCCCAAGGCTATATGGGGCTGGGCTCCTACCTGCCTGGGCTTAGATATCCTGGCACATTACACAATAGCCTGAGGTCTTCCCCAGGTAGATTTATGTCAATATCCCTTCCTCCTACTTCTTTCCTCTCCCCTGGTGAACATGGAAAATCCAAGAGATGGCTCACCCTATTTTCCAGATGTGGAAACTGACACCCAGAGAGGGGCAGAAATAAGCCAGAGCAGAGTGAGGACCAGACCACAAGCCTCCTGGCTTTTAGCCCTAGGCTTTGCCTCTCATTCCACCTAGAGTCACCCTCATTTCCATCTCTGGGTCTGGTACCAGACTATCTGAGCCTTGGGCACCAAAGCAGAGGTACCTTCCTGAGGTAACAAGAGCTGCTGAGACGCTCTCCTGCCATCCCACTCTGCCGGTTGGGCTACTCATGGGTGTCACCAAAGCTACTGCCAGGGTGTCACCCATGCCTTCACCTCTTTGCTATTTAAGGAGCCTACCCCAAGGAGGGGGGAGGGGACAGCTCAGACCTTTCACCCTTCCCTGGCCACTTGCCCCACCCTATGTCCCAGAGCCAGCCTGTGTGAATCAGAGACTTATAGGCAATAGATGCGTGCATACAGGGAGTTTAGAAACCATCTAGTCTGATCCTTGAATTTTAAAAAGGAGGAAACTGAGGTCTAGAGAATTGAAGTGACATCCATGGCCATACTGGAATATGCAGAATTAGGATTCAAACCTGATTCCTCTTATCCCAAATCCAGGGCTCTTTCCACTATGCAACACTGCTATATTATCTTCTAACCTCATGACTCCCACCCATTTATAAACAATTAAAAAGTGAGGCCAAGAGAGAAGGAACTTGCCCAAGGTCGCATCGCCCCCCTGCTGCTGCACTCCCAAGTAGCCTGTCCTTCTATGATCTTGAGTGAGTCCAACCCCACCCTCTTCCAGGATCGGAGGACCTGGACCTATGAAAGTGCCACAGATATCACCTAGTCCATTTTATAATGAGGAAACTGAGGTCAGAGAACGGAAGAAACTCTCCTAAGGCCACAGAAAGCTGCTGGCCCATCTGTGAGATAAGAAAGTCCAGAAAGCCCAGGTCTGAAAGTCCTGGAGAACTGGGTTCTAGCTCTTACTCTGCCACTGACCCACTTATGGGACTCTGACCAGGATCCCCTCTCTTTCAGGCCTCAGCTTCTCCCCTCTGCAAAATGAGGGATGAAGTCTCAGCACTCTGAGGACCTTCCGGACGCCAGCCCAAGTGGACAAGTAGACGGGAGATCCCTCCTTCTAGTCACTGACATCACACACACACACACACACACACACACACACACACACACACACACATCTGTACATACGTATGACTTGCGATCCTGACAAATTCAGCCTTTGACACACATGCCCCAACAGACGGACATACACATCCCCACCCCTGCGACAGGATCACATTACGCCTACATAACTACTGATCTGCCACATCTGCTGCTGGGCACACGCACACCAACACAAACACACACCCCCACACAAAAATACACAAACACGGCATAGTCAGAGACACCCACCCTAATAGAAGTCCACTCTCTTGCATTGTGACCCTGATGGCCTGGGGGTCTCTCTCTCCCTTATCTGTTTCTCTTCCTCTCTCTCTCCCCCCCCCCCTTCTTTCTCTCTCCCTCCTTCCTCTCTCTCTCCCTCCCCTCTGTCTCCTTCTCTCTCTCTCCCCCTCTCTTCTCTTTCTCCCTCCTCTCTCTCTCCCTCCCTCCTCCTCCTCCTCCTCATTCTCTCTCTCTCCCCTTGTTCTCTCTCTCTCTGTTTGTCTCTCTCCCCTTGTTCTCTCTCTGTCTTTCCTCTTTTCTCTCTCTCTTCTCTCTCTCTCCTCTTTTCTCTCTCTCTCCCTCTCTCTCTCTCCTCTCTCT